GGGGTTCTGTGGGAGAAGCCAGCGCCTAGAGCAGCCCCGCCGGCAGCCCCTGGGATTCCCGCCCTGGAAGGAGCCGTTTTAAGGAAGTATGTTGGCGAGGCAGGCACCTAGGTGTGCGCACCCGGGCATTGCATCAGCACACCCGGACACACGGCTCCGCAGTCCCCACGCCTCGTCCCGCCACCCCGGAGCTGGCACACACGCGGGCATAGGCAGATACGTGTCACCCTGCTGACATCTTATTTAACAGAGGAAAGTCTGCTAAGGGCAAATTAGGGCCATCCTAATTATGAGCCGTTTCCACGTTCATTTATCCTCCCCATATTCATTACCCACGAACATAAAGTTAAGGGATATTCGCTTTTTATGTTTGTTTGTTTGTTTGTTTCCTCAATGTTTTCTCCTCCCCTGCTATTTAATTTACATCAGTGCATGGTTGCAAGGTGGGAAACCCATCCGCGTTCTATCATGTCAAATAATTAATGTGATCCTCTGCATTAAAAGCACATTTATAAGCTCGTGGAATTTGTACTGAACAGTAATGAGTTGTATACAATTACCCGTCACATACACATCCTTTTCTTCACTGTATTGCCTTTCTTCAAGGTAAACAGGAATGTCTTTCTTCTTCCTGTTAATTCAGATGCCGTACAGGAAAGCACAATTTCAGGCTCTCCGATTCTGCCTTTTTTGAGTTGCGTTATGCGGTAGGGTGCTACATTTTTTTCACGTCGAGCAATTGTAGAAAATCTCGGGCAGGAAAGTTCAGGCTTTTCATACTTTGGAAAAGTTTTCTTTTAGTTTGTTTTAGTTTGCTTGTTGGTTTGGGGTTTTTTCCCTTTGGTTTAAATACTGACTTGATAGAAAATGCAGGCAAGGAGGAAGATTTCCACAGATAAAAAGCGGCCACGTGAGCTGGTTATTTTTACTTCCCCCCCCCCCATTATGACATTATCGCATCTTGTGGAAGAACAGAAATTTAAATCAGTGCAAGGTGGGAGAGATGCATGAGATCATTATAAAAAAGTGCAGGCAGTTTAATTTCTCCTCGGCACAGACATTGTACACCAGTAAATTTCAATAAACTGATTACTTAAATATTTAGCTAGAGAGGAGGGACACAAAAGCTGCAAAAGCTCGCGAATACTTCGGGAGGAAACCTCCTCCCGGGGCAGATAAACCCTCAGCCCGGCCCTGCGGCGCTGCCCCGGGAAGGCCGCCGGGTAC